CGCTACTGTACTTTAGTTTTGTCCTCTTGTTCCCTACATACACTTCATAGCAATGTCTCTAGTAATAGACTCAGTTGTCTATTCCAGTCTTAGTCTGAAGCCTTGCTTCAACCAGTATACTCTCTCAAACCGCTATCAGATATAGCAGCTCAGTTTGCAACTCTAGTTCAGTGTAGGACTATAGCGTGTATAAGTCCTAGTAACAGTTAACCAAGTTGAACTCCTGATCCTCAGTCGTTAGGTCCCTTAACAATAGACTCCAGTTGTCTATTCCAGTCTCAGTCTGAAGCATTGCTTCAACCAGTATACTTTCTCAAACCACTGCCAGTTGCAGTGGCTTAGTATCTAAGTCTAGTTCTAGTACAGTGTGTTAGCCTTACACATAGCAGTACTTTTTGTCAGTAGTAGTCTTAAGTGGAACTCCTGATCCTCAGTCGTCAGGTCCCTTAACATTGACTGACCTACTCAGTGGCAAACCAAGTTGCCCCACTCACCACTGCCACTCTTATCATTACCAATGAACACCCTCATCTCCTCCTCTTAGCTCTTCTAGGGCTCATCCTCCTATCCCTCCTGTCCACCCTTGCCCTCACCCTCATCATCCCCCTCACCCTTCACATTACAATCCAACACCTAGAATGCAAGCACCAGTGGGCATTCAACATCGCCACGACCATACAGCACCCTCTCTCCCATACAACCACAAATCTGCCACTAATTGCTGCTAACCATGACAGTAACAATCCCACTCAAGTCTATTTTGAGTACATTAGGAATGCTCAAAATTAATTCTCCTGGGATTCTTTTGTCTGTAGTAGTGTCCTGTGTTCATATTCTGGGGTTCATAATTTGTAAAACCATTTCTTGGTATCTTCCTATGCCTGCCAAGTGTAACAACCACATCAGAACCAACAATGCAGCTCTTCCTAACCCCAATCCATGCCATTGTCCTCTGGCTCCTATTCAGAAAAATCCTCAAACAACTATGGTGCCCAGAGCACTGACCCCTTTTCCTACTCACATCTGGACACTTGAAGAAAATTTCACAGCTGGAATAATAGAAATGCCAGCCCCAAGATGCCCTATACTACATATCCCCTCCAAAAGGGTTTCTGACACCTCCCCTCGGGAATGTTTCAACAAAGGAGGTTTCTGATTCCCCATTAATCCACCATCAGAGCCCAACCAGCATCCATTTCTAGTCAAGGGTCCTTCTGAGTCTTCCAGTAATGATGCTATCATTCTACATCAATTTCCTGGTTCTTTGACAGGTCTTCCTCATGTTACAGTCACAAGGAGGGGGTTATCTTTTTCTTCTCACTATTCATCATTGACCCTGTACTATCACTTGATACATTTCATCTGCATCACCATTCCATATATGTACAATGTTTCACCTTCATCACATTTCACTTACATTGCATTTCACCTTCATCATGTTTCACTTATATTACATTTCACTTATATCATGTTTCACCTCCATCACTGATACAACCCAATGAAACTATTTCATACTCATCACTAATTCAACTCAGAACATTTCATACTTATTAAACCCTATCTACTTCATTCTATTTAAGGTGTACTACTTATGCTACTATACTTTAGTTTTGTCCTCTTGTTCCCTATGTTACTTTATAGGGACAGCCTCAGTAATAGACTCAGTCATCTATTCAAGTCTCAGTCCAAAGCACCGCTTCTATCAGTATACATTCTCAAACCACTATACACTATAGAGGCTCAGTCTACCAGTCTAGTCCCAGTATAATGTGTCAGTCTTACACAGATCAGTATCAGTATCCCTTACAAGTCAAACTCCTGATCCTCAGTCGTTAGGTCCCTTGAAACCTCAAGACATTTCTAAAGCATCTACAGGATCTTACCATGCTGGTCCTATACATTACTTCCTGCCATCTTCCCCCATGAATGTCTCATCCTCTTCTAACCCCGATGAACCCCCAGCCATCTCCTCATTGCCAGACTCTCCTAATATGCCCTCTCTCAAATCTGATGTATCAGACAATGGCAGTAATATTTGGGCTCCTAACCTCCTCCTACTCACAGAAACCAGCAAATACATCACAGCGTCCGAAGGAGGTCATAGTAGCAATCCACAGAAGTTTGTTGTTCACAGCGATAACATTGTCCAACAACCTGCTAATAATATTGTAAGGACATGGTGATCCATTCCCTTTGACACCTCCACACCTGTCAAAGACATTGATCCCATAGAACACACTATACCCTACTTCCCCAGAGCCTACACCAACCACATTTTGCACCCTCCTATGGGTATTCCCATTGACGGTAATCCTGCCTTCAGACTACAATGAGTCTCAACTACTACTCCAGGGGCCCTCCACACTGCTGACCCCATTGGGAACTGGAACTCATTGGACAAGAAATGAGAGGAGGATGCTTGGGAATACTTGCTGACACGAGAGGATAACCTATTAGAAAGTCTTTGGGAGTTGCTTCAAGATATAGGAGACCCAGGAGTAATTGACAAAGTCAACCGGTTCAGGGCTGTCAATGCAAAATTAGACCTCCTCCTCACTGCACGAAGGTCACTGGGAGCTGAACTTATTTGTACCCAAGAAGAAATGAATTAATGTCAAATACATCTCCAAGCCGCCAACTTAGAAGATTGACTCAAACAACATGAATTCACTATCATTACTCCCCCTTCAGGCACTATGCCTTGATGACTACATCTCTGCACTAATTGCAATATGGAAGGACACTTGTGGAGTGAGTGTTGGTATTGGGTATGTTCATCTTGCAGTCTACTCCACCCATGCTACAAGTTTTGAATGGTGGACAATATATGAGCTAGACTAACCCTGTGTTCTACCAAGGAACCAGGTTATCTGAAGGAATGGCATGCTCAATGGCATTTGTAATGACAAATATAGAGGAGGGGGTGATGTTACAGTCTCAAGGGAGGGCTTTCTTTTCTCACTTACTATCTGTCATTTGTGTTAAGGGACCTAACGACTGAGGATCAGGAGTTCAACTGTTTAACTG